CACCGCCACCACCGCCACCACCGCCGCCACCACCGCCACCGCCACCGCCACCACCGCCACCCATAACTGGCCCGAGTCAACTACGGGCAAGAGCCCTCTTCCGCTCTGTCGCACGTTCATCAGGACCTTTCTCTCTCCGAAGCCTCCGCGCGGCGAGACACCCTCGCGGCGTTCGCGCGGACCACTGTGAACAGCGTCTCTTCACACCTCTTGCTGTGAACAGGCGAGACACCCTCGCGGCGTTCGCGCGGACCACCGGCATGGGTTGTTTCGCGCGGACCACCGGCGGCTCTCGCGCGGACCCCGGCCGCAGTGGCAGGGCGGCCGCCAGCAGCCTCTCGGCCGTCGCGGCTCTCGGCCCGCTGCCGTGGGCTGCACCGCCGCCGTCGATGGCGCCGCCGCCGCTGCGCGCCGCGTCTGGCGACGCGCTCTGCGCGCCCCCCACGCTCCCGCCCTCCCTCGGGATCGGCTCCGGAGGCGGTGGCGGCGGGAGAAGCGGCTATCCCGGCAGCTATGGCGGCGGCAGCTATGGCGGTAGCGGCTATGGCGGGAGCGGCTCTGGCGGCGGCGGGATCGGCCCTGGCTTTGGCCCCGGCAGCAGCAGCGGCAGCTTCGGCGCCTGCCTGGCGCTATTCCCGCCCCCGCCCGCGCCTCCGCAGCCGCCGCTCCCCCTTCTTCCCTTTGAGTCGTGGCTCTCCACGGGCGGCGGCGCCGGCGTCGGCGCCGGCGTCGGCGCCGGCGTCGGGGGCGGCGTCGGGGGCGGCGTCGGGGGCGGCTGCGGCTACGGTGGCGGCGGCACGGGCGGCGGCAAGGGCGGTTGCGGCGGCGGTGGCGCGTCCTACAGCGGCGCAGGCAGCGGAGGCTCTGGCGGCTATGGCGGGGGCTCCGGCGGGGGGCGAGGCTGCGGCAGCCGTGGCGGCGACGCGGGGCTCGGCGGCGGCGGAGGCTGCGGCGGCAACGGGTGGGAGGTGCGTCCGTGGGAAGGGAGAGTCTAGAAGGGGGGGGATGGCTGCTCCACGTGCACTTCTAGGCTTGCACATTGAATGCCGCGCCGGTTCCCGCCTGTCTGGGAATCGGAGATGCGGGCGCTGCCTGGCCCATGCCCTACTACCTCGTGTGTGTGTGGAGAAGTTGACCTCGCCTCACCGTACCTCACCGTAGTGTCTAGAAGGGGGATGGTTGCTCCACGTGCACCGGGCCTTCACACATTGAATGCCGTGTCGGTTCCCGCCTGTCTGGGCTGTGTGTGTGAAGAAGCTGGCCTCACCTCGCCCCACCGTAGGTGCGCGCTGGCGATTGGACGTGCCCCGGGTGCGGACTCAACGTCTTCGGATGGAAGCACGCTTGCTTCAAGTGCAGCACGCCGAAGCCTGGCGGCGGCGGCGGCGGCGCAGCAGTCAGACACGGAGGCGGCGGCGGCGGCGGAGGCGGCAGCTGCGGCGGTGGCGGTGGCAGCTTGGGAGGATGGGGCGCCAGCAGCCGTGTCGGCGGAGGAGGTGACGGTCACGGTGGCGGAGGAGGAGGCGGCTGGGGTGGCGGAGGAGGAGGCGGCTGGGGAGGCGGTGGAGGAGCCGGCTGCGGAGGCGGTGGAGGAGGCGGCTGGGGAGGCGGTGGAGGAGCCGGCTGGGGAGGCGGTGGAGGCGGAGGCTGCGATAGCGGCGGGCGCAGCGCGAGTGGGCGCGGCTGGGGAGGCGGAGGTGCTGCAAGGCACGTGCGTGGTTGGGGCGGGAGTGGTGGCGGCGATGGAGGCGGTGGCGGCGGCGGCGGTGGCGACAGCGGCGGCGGCGGCGACGACGACGGAGGCGGAGGCGGCGGCGGAGGAGGAGGCGGCGGCGATGGCGGCGGAGGAGGAGGAGGCGGAGGGAGCGGTAGCAGCGGGCATGGCAGCTGGAGCAGAGGCCGTCCGCCAGGTTGTTGCGCGTCTGCTCACTGTGCGCCTGCCGCGGCCGGAACCGGATCGGCGAGAGACGTCGCCGCCACCGCCGCCGCTCCCGCTGGCGCGGCGTCCGACGGAGCCTATTCTCCCGGCCGCGAGGGCTCAGCGTATTCTCCCGGCGGCGAGGGCTCAGAGGGCGCCTACTCTCCCGGCGCCGAGGACACACTGGAGGCTTCGGCCGCTCCCCCTGCGACGTGCCCGGCGGCCGGCGCTGTCGCTGCGTCGTTGGCGGCGGAGGAGGCCGCTGCCGCACCTGCCGCTTCTGCCGCTGCTCACGCCGATCTGGAGGGCGCCTACTCGCCAGGGGCCGAGTCGGAGGGCGCGTACAGCCCGGGCCCCGAGGAGGAGGAGGCGGGGGAGGCTTTGGCCGCTCCCGCCGGCACGGAGGGGTTTGGCGCTGCCGCGGCTGACATCGCTGAGTCGCCCGCCGCCGAGTCGGACGGAGCGTACTCGCCGGGCGCAGACTAGTTGGGGAGTGCGATGCCCCCCATGCGCGTTTGCGAGGGGGGGGGCACTAGATTGCCACATACACTAGAAGGCCACACTGGGAGGAGGCCGCGACACGTAGAACGGTCTTCCGTTGCGGGCGGCGCGCGCGGCGGAGAACACGTGAGAACTGCAGCAGCCGAGAATGGGTAATAGTACGTCAGTAGACAATACGTCGCGCGCAATGCGGAGTGCGCGCGAATTACGAGCGATCCCGCCTGCCAACGCATACAGCCATGGTGTGTGGTGAGGTACGGTTGTGTACTAGTTCGGTTCTTGCCGGGCAGAGTTACTTTGTGCCGAATGTGTGGCGAGAAAGATTCCACAAATTGCGCTGAGTTAGTGTTTCTGTATTTTTGGAAGAAAAACGTTTCCAATTCAAAAGTCCTGTGCGTGCGCAGTGGCTACGTCGACTTTTACGTGTGTGCACGTGTGAGAAGTTTACCCTACCTCTTACCTTTGCGCAAGCTTAAACCTTACGTACAAATACCCCGTCAACGGCCCTAGCCTACGGTACGTACGGCGATCGCATGAGCAACTCGCAAAAACTCGTCCACGGCCACTCGCTCGCGATTGGTGTCGGTAATTAATTGCCCGAGATTACCCGAGATCGCTTCCGAGACCGGTACCGCTTCAAAATACTCCGTCATGGCGCACGCTGGGCCAAACGACTGCTTTGCAGAATTTCGTACCGGAGTCCTTCCTGGCGACCCTCTCGCCCACGACGTATTGCTTTTGGAGCACGAGCACTGGCAGCGCTGCCAGTTCGATGACAACGAGCAATTCATAGGAAGCAAACTACAGCTGAGGGTGGGTGGCTGGCAGTATGCAGGATCGCCGGGCGGTCTTGTTCTTCGCGATCTCGAAACAGAGGATGTCCAACCGTTGCTAGGCAGCTATTGTAACGTTCAATATTGCCAGGCGAACAATCAATGGATGGCCATCGAAGCCATAATACTGCGGGGACGGCAGTACGCAATTGAAAACACTAATTCCGATGGCCTGGGATTGACAGAGCTCAGGGCTATGAACCACCGTGACGTTCTGTTTGCATACTACGGCTTCTCTGAGGGAAGCTGCCCTGAAGATAACGGCTTCTGGCTTGACGGGCAATGCGACCCCACCCCACCCTCGAAGTATCTTCCCGCCTGCCAGCTAGGAAGGAAGTGCCAGAGCCAGATGCTCCTTCAAGAGATCTACACGCCGGGTGTCTACACCGAGCCAAAAGGGGGGAAGCGGTGCACCTACAAAGGAGCGAGTCCTCCTGGGTTCTGCAGCGGCGAAGCCGACTGCTTTGAGAAGGGCAGGGATGCGTGCGATCAGGATCCGGAGTGCAAAGGGGTGATGTGGTCCTCGGTTTGGCCGGGTGGTGTTAGGACCGACGGGCCCACTACGATCCAGGCGTCCGACAGAGCCACGTGGTTTTCCATGCCGGCTGGCACATCCTGGTCTCTCAGCATGGGCACGTGTAGCTCGGATGCCGGCTGCCAGTGGATCTTCGAGCCAAGTGAGACTCGGGTTGGGGCGTACTACATCAAGGTGGCCGGCGGAACCCAGTACATTCACGCGTCGGGCGGCACCTCTTCCGGACAGCCTCTCACTATGCACGATTGCCCCAAAGAAAACAATAACGCCAACTGCCAATGGATTCTCGAGCCAAGTAGCACGCGGCCAGGGACGTACTACATCAGGGCGTCCGACAGGGAGCACTTGGAGTTGGACAGGGCCACGTACATTCACGCGAGCGGCGGCACCTCTGCCGGAAAGTATCTCACGATGCACTCTTGCCCCAAAGAAAACAATTACCCCAACTGCCAATGGAAGCTCATTTGGCCGGGTAGTGTTCCGGGCACTGCTGTTAAATACTGTTCAGATCAGCCGGGTGGTGTTAGGACCGACGGGCCCACTACGATCCAGGCGTCCGACAGAGCCACGTGGTTTTCCATGCCGGCTGGCACATCCTGGAGTTCTCTCAGCATGGGCACGTGTAGCTCGGATGCCGGCTGCCAGTGGATCTTCGAGCCAAGTGAGACTCGGGTTGGGGCGTACTACATCAAGGTGGCCGGCGGAACCCAGTACATTCACGCGTCGGGCGGCACCTCTTCCGGACAGCCTCTCACTATGCACGATTGCCCCAAAGAAAACAATAACGCCAACTGCCAATGGATTCTCGAGCCAAGTAGCACGCGGCCAGGGACGTACTACATCAGGGCGTCCGACAGGGCCACGTACATTCACGCGAGCGGCGGCACCTCTGCCGGAAAGTATCTCACGATGCACTCTTGCGCCAAAGAAAACAATTACCCCAACTGCCAATGGAAGCTCATTTGGCCGGGTAGTGTTCCATTGACAGCAGATGCGCAATGGACATCAGTAGCACTCTCACAATCTGCTTACCGGCCAGCCGATAGCAACCGGTGCGTCATGGTCTCGCGCGGGCCGGGCGGCTGTGGTGCCCCACCGTACATGGCCCAGGGCTTGACCGGTACGCCAAATTACGCCATCAGCTACTGCCTCGCGAACCCTGCATGCATCAAGGTGCAGTGGGACTCGCATGGCAACATCTATCCAAGCGACCAACAGAGTGGGGTGCAGGCCACCGAGCCGAACGGCGGCAGCTGGAGCTGCCTATTCAAGGAATGCCCCGGTGATGACCCGCAAGGAGACTAGAAAACGAGGCTAAGACGAACGACCCTGGTGCCAAAGACAATAGCGAACGACAATCGGTGAAAGTCCGGCTCAAGCGCAGGTAAACGAGTGCGCGGCCCAGGCTACTGGAAAATGTGTAAGACGATACGAGAGCAGCATGGTTCCATGGATGACTACCTTGGTAAATGGTAAAGCAGCGCAGTACGAGCACCACATGGCGGCGCGACGGAAAACGACTGGGACTCCTCTCTCTAACCCGCAGCTATAGCCCTTCACAGGCGTAAGTCCACGGCGCCAGAACTCAGTGGCAAAAACACCCACTGGCGACCCACCGTGGCAGCGGCGCGGTGTATCTTGCACGGGACGTATGCGAGCTGCGTGTCCGCCTAACTTTAAAGGCACAGGTCTCGCCACACTACCGTGATTGTATGCATGTGTCGGGAGATGTAATTGATGTGTTATGGGTTTAATTAATTAAAAAGTAAGAAATGACATGCAGTGATGCTCGGAGATAGCCGCGCAGCGGCTATGTAGGTTATCCGTGTGTGTCTCGCGCCTTGCGGGGGGGGAGCGGAAAGGAGGAACCTCTTCCCAAGAGCACCACTCTTGGAGCGCCGCCACTACCACCCAGAGCGCTGCAAGCACGAAGCAGCGCCGGGCAATGACGGCTTACCGCCCACCCAGCCCCCCCTCGGCACACCCCGGCAGCCAATGTGTGACGGCTCGAACCCGCTAAGCCATCCCGCAAGCGGGATAGCCCGCCACTCGAACCCGCAAGCGGGCGTACGAACCGCGAGCGGCTCGCACTCGTGACACGCAGGCGTCCGCCAGACGGCGCCGGGGCTAGGCGACCGAAGAGGAACTACGGCAAGAACCGCACACCACCCGCTGACGAGCGCTCGCGGAACTGGTCCGGGGGCCGGCGGGCACTTGACGTTCGAGACCTCGAGAGAAGTTCGCCCGCAGGCCTCCCCGAGGGCCCAAGTCAAGAATTGGCTTTCTTTTGACGGGCAAGCGGAGAAGGGGCACCTCCGTGCACTGACGGTCGGCCGTCAGAAATCACGCCTGCGTGGATCGCGTCACACCAATCCTCGCGCTACCCAACGCGGCCAAAGGATATCCACCTCGAGAACCTCGAGATAATATGCAGCAAGTCCCGCAAGAATGGAAGAGAGAGAGATTTTTAGCAATACCAAACAACTCTAACACTCACACGTAATTTGGGGCCCTATGGAAGAGCAACTGGGCGAGAGAGGGCAAGGGACCGGACGCTGGCATACCAGGGGGGGCAGGGTGGCTGACGCGGGCTGACGCGGGCCCAGTAGTACCTCGATGAGGTGACTTGGACCACTAAGAATTGGCTGGGGGCTGCAGAAGCAGCGTCTCTCGGTCGTTCTTCACACGGGAATCGCTACCCAACGCGGCCAAAGGATATCCACCTCGAGAACCTCGGGAACTAGCCGGGGCAGTCGGAGAAGGGGCAACTCCGTGCACTGACGGTCGGCCGTCAGAAAACACGCCCGAACACGCCTGCGTGGATCGCGTCACACCAATCCTCGCTACCCAACGCGGCCAAAGGATATCCACCTCGATGGGGAGGAACGGGGCGAGCCCCCTCCAACCCACCCGCGCTAGGTCTCGGGTTTGACGCATGGGGTCACTCCCGCGAAACTCGTGAACTAGCCGGGGCAGTCGGAGAAGTGGCAACTCCGTGCACTGACGGTCGGCCGTCAGAAAACACGCCTCCGTGGCTCGGGTTACACCAATCCTCGCTACCCAACGCGGCCAAAGGATATCCACCTCGAGAACCTCGAGAGAACCTTGTCTCCGATGACGCGAGGAGAAGAAACGCGCGTCCGGGCCTCTTGTCTGTGGCTGTGACGGTACAGGTCGATGAGCAGCCCGCGAACCAACTCCCAGGCAAGAGCCTCAGGGAAGCGCCGCTCGCGCCTGAACCCGAGCTCTCCAGCGGTCCTCATCGCTGTCGCAGTCCTCATCTGTACCGTCCTTCGCATCTACTGGTTCAGTGACTGGTCTCACTCGTACCTGCTCGCGCTGCACTCTTCAGCTGGCAACCGGCGGAACATGACGGCTGCGTGGAACTCGGAGTGGAAGCGGCACGCGCGACACTTCCCTTCCGCCTTCGAGGCGAGCCAGCGCGTCGGACGCACCGCCGAACTCTTCGCGGCCACGTTCGCAGTCGCTGCGCCACACGTGCGCATAACACAAAGCGACAACCCTCCTGCGCGTGAAAGGCTGCTGTGACACCCTGCTACTCGCCTAGGCGACCGTGCCGCGGGTCGAGGAGTCGGCCATGGAGTGCTCGAGCTACGCGGGCCCGATGTACTTCCCGTACGGCGGCAAGGCCAAGGTGCAGCGCAGGCCGGTTCGTGCCGCCACCTCAACCTCCTTCAGCCAAAGTGTGGGCAGCATCGCCGGCGGCGGCGGCGGCGGCGGCGGCGGCGGCGGCGGCGGCGGCGGGGAGGCGGCGGCGGTCGACAAGAGAGGGGAGGCGCGGCTGGCGCTTCGCAGCGTGTCACTCCACGACGTGCGTCTGCTCCCGGGCTCCCACTTTGAGCACGCCAGCCGCGTCAACACTGCCTGGCTCCTCGCGCTCGACGTCGACCGGCTGCTCCACTTCTTCCGCGTGACGGCGGGCCTGCCTCCGCTCAAAGCGGCGCCGGCGTACGGCGGCTGGGAGAGCGGCGGCTCGGGCCTACGTGGCGAGTTCGTAGGCCATTACTTGCACGCCGCTTCCGCCGCCGCTGCTTCGACGGGGGACGAGACGGAGCGAGCGGCGCTGCTCGCCCGCTGTGGCGCGGTCGTGCGAGGGCTCGCCGAGTGTCAAGCCAAGCTCGGCGCCGGAGGCTACGTCTCCGCCTTCCCCGAGGCCGAGTTTGCTCTCACGGAGGCGGGCAAGCCGCCCGGGCCTTGGGTGCCCTACTACGTCATGCTGTGAACAGCGCCTATTCACACCGCCAGCTGTGAACAGGCGGGCAAGCCGCCCGGGCCATGGGTGCCCTACTACGTTATGCACAAGCTCCTTGCCGGTCTGATTGCGCACCGGCAGCTGTGGCCGAGCACAACGTCGGGCGCTGCGGCCTTGACCGTCGCGCTGCAGCTGGCGTCGCACCTTCGCGGGCGTGCCGATGCGATGTGGTCTGCCCGAGAGGACCCGAGAGTACCCGAGATTGCTCGAGATTACTCGAGATTAGGCGTGTCGACGCTATGTGGTCTGCGGGCGGCCGCGAGCGGTGGGAGGATTTCATCAACCAAGAGGTTGGCGGCATGTCGGAGGCCCTGGGGGACCTCTCTCTTCTCTCGGGCGATCCGGCGTGGGCAAACCTCGCGGCCAGATTCGAGCGGCCGTGCTTCATTCGCCCGCTCGCCCTCGCAGCCTCCCTCGCCGCGCCGCTCGACGACGCGGCGTCGGCGCCGATGGCGAGCGCGGAGAAGCGCGACGCGCTGCGGGCCGCCGCCGCCGCCGCCGCCGCGGGAGCGATCGAGAAGCTGCACGCGAATGCGCACCTGCCCATGCTGCTCGGTGCGATGGGGCGGTACGAGGCGACCTCTCCTGGAGCCGCCCTCTCCCAAGCCCAAAGCCCCTGCCTGGCGCCTCCTCGAACCCCTCCCCTCCCCAGCCCCGCGCCCCCCGCCTCCAGCGTGGCCGCTCGGTACGAGTCCCTTCAGCACAGCACATGACACGCTCTCGCTCAGGCGTCGGGCGACCCGCTCCTTCGCGGCGCGGCCGAAGCCTTCTTCTCCGAGCTCGACGCCGGCCACACTTTTGCGCACGGCGGCTTGACTGCGGCGGGAGGTGTGCATGCCGTGAGCAGCGCCCATTCACACCGCCAGCTGTGAACAGGCGGCTCGACTGCGGCGGGAGGTGTGCATGCCGTGAGCAGCGCCCATTCACAGCGCCAGCTGTGAACAGGCGGCTCGACTGCGGCGGGAGGTGTGCATGCCGTGAGCAGCGCCCATTCACACCGCCAGCTGTGAACAGGCGGCTCGACTGCGGCGGGAGGTGTGCATGCCGTGAGCAGCGCCCATTCACAGCGCCAGCTGTGAACAGGCGGCTCGACTGCGGCGGGAGGTGTGCATGCCGTGAGCAGCGCCCATTCACACCGCCAGCTGTGAACAGGCGGCTCGACTGCGGCGGGAGGTGTGCATGCCGTGAGCAGCGCCCATTCACAGCGCCAGCTGTGAACAGGCGGCTCGACTGCGGGCGAGGTGTGGATGCCGGCGAGGCGGCTGGGGGACGTAGTGCGGCACCGGCACGCGGACAGCTACTGGGCGCAGACCACGAGGCTGTGAACGGCGTCTATTCACACCTCCAGCTGTGAGCAGGCACGCGGACAGCTACTGGGCGCAGACCACGAGGCTGTGAACGGCGTCTATTCACACCTCCAGCTGTGAGCAGGCATGCGGACAACTACTGGGCGCACGACCACGCCGAGAGCTGCGTGCTGCACAACTCGATGCGCGTCTCGCGCCGGCTGATGGGCTGGGGCGGCCGCGCCGGTAGCGCGGGGGTGACGCACACGCTGAGGCACGCTCTCTCTCTCTCTCTCTCTCTCTCTCTCTCTCTCTCTCTCTCTCTCTCGCGCGCGCTCTCTCGCTCTCTCGCTCTTCTCGGGAGGTCTTGTATCTTACTTCCCCACCCCCCCGTAGAATGGCTTCTAATGGTAAACCCGAAGTATAAAATGTGGCCGGAAATTGGTCTGGCCCCAACCCATAGACACTC